AATAGATAAACTGTGCTTAACCCAAACTAAGTACTTTGGTTCCAGTTGTATAATTCCTTAAAACACACACATATCTGCAGATACTCGAACTTAAGATCTAACTCAAAATCACATCCAACAAGAAAGCTTCCAGAGTCATTCTCCATCTCCCAAGCTAATATTCTTTCTTCTGGTATTTAGTTTGGATTACATTATCACATAACTGTTCTTTGTTGTCCGGTCATACAGTTGGAACTTGGCTGGGTGTTTTTGGAGTTTTTTTTCCAATAAATATTAAGTATTTGGAAATTCAATAATGAGCATAACAGCTAAGGATTTAGAGAACTGCTGTCAAAATAATTTAATACGGTCCAGAAATCTGTTAGCAAAGGTGCTAATAATAAAGTTTGAGAGAGTATGATGTTCCAAGACAAGGATTTCTTGCCCACAAGATCTTTGATAAGCTCTTCCTTCCAAACTTGGAAACATCTGTCAGGGAGAGAAATCTATTCTACCAAGTTGCACAGAAGAGACCAACTTCATTTGTGTGCTATCGATCATATATAGGGGTGGGAACACAGGAAAAATCTCTCAAAGATTAAGCTTTCCAACCTTAGACCAGATTGCTTTTTTTATGTTTTCCATCAAACCAATGACCTCTATTCATCTCTGTATTCCAGCCAACTTGTTTAACAGAAGTATGTCTTGGGCCTTTTCATTCAAGTTTCACTTCTCTCTTACTCATAGGCCTTATTCATAAAAGTTAGGCAGAACCCTTATGTACTACTTTAGAAGTGACCAAGGCACCAAGATCACTTCTACATTTTCATCTTTGCTATTTTAATACTTTAAACACTGTCACTGGGTTAAAAATTTTGCAAATTAGAAAACCACATCTAAGTATCAATTATTTTGTCTCAATAACTTGAATGATTATGTATAAAATTTATCAAACTTAAATGTATTAAGATTGTTGTTGTTATGTGCGTCGAGTCATTTGCTACTCATAGCGACCCTATGTACAACAGCCCTAAACCCTGCTCTATCCTGTGCCAATCTCATTGCCTCCGACACACCAATCCCGATCACCCCAGTCACTGAATCAATCCACCTCATAGAGGGTCTTCCCCTCCTGCGCTGTCTCCACTCTGCCCAGCATGATGTCCCTCTCCAAAGACCTGTCTCTCCTTACAACATGTACAAAGTATGTCAGGCGAAGCCCTAGAATCCTTGCCTCCAAGGAGCAGCCTGCTTTAACCCTCTCCAGGATGAATCTATTTGTTTTCTTGGCAGTCCATGGTACATTCAATACTCCTCTCCAGCACCTCAGCTCAAAGGCGTCAATTCTCCTTCTGTCCTCCCTAGTCATTGTCCAACTCTCTGATGCATAACAAGTGATTGCAAAAACCATGGCCTGTATAGGCGCACCTTAGTCTCCAGAGAGACACCGTTGCTCTTGAGTACTTTAGAGAGGTCCCTAACCACAGACTTTCCCAATCCAATACGTTTTTTTATTTCCTGGCTACTGGTGCCAAGAGTGTTGACTGTGGAGCCGAGCAAACTGAAGCTGTGAACAATCTCGATCTCTTCACCATCCATCCTGATGCTACCGATTGGTCCAGTGGTGAGAATTGTCTTCTTGACATTGAGCCTCAGTCAATATTGAAGGCTGCAGTCCTTGACCCTCGGCAGTAAGTGCATGAGGTCCTCCTCAGTTTCAGCGAGCAGGGTTGTGTCATCTGCATAACACAGATTGTTGCTAGATCGTCCACCAATCCTAACGCCACGCTTCTCCTCATAGAGCCCAGCCTCTCGGATAATATGCTCTGCATACAGGTTGAAAAGGTATGGAGACAGGACACATCCCTGGCGTACACCCTTCCCAATTTGGAACCATGCAGTGTTGCCCTGCATGTTCTGACGACTGCCTCTTGATCCAAGTATAGGTTTCACATTAGCACGATTAAATGTTCTGAGGTGCATTCACTAAAAAAGAACTGTACTTTATTCTTTTAAAAGGTCCTTTTGCATCAAAGTAAACAAAAACATAATTTCATTAGAGTTTAATATTTAGTTACAAAGCATGTTTTAATATCTTCCATTTAAAAAGCAGCTTTGGTGGCTTAGTGGTAAGGAATTGTGCTGCCAATGCTAAAGTACGCGGTTTCAATTCAGAAGTTGCTCCACAGGAGAAAAATGTGCAATCTCTTCCTGTGCAATATATTAGGGAGCTCTGGTGGCCTAGCACTAAGGAACTACACTGCCAATCTGAAGGTACATGGTTCAAATCCACCAGCTATTCCATGGAAGAAAGATGAACCACCTCCTTGCATGGAATAGCTTCTGAAAACCTTGCGGAGAATAAGCTATGGGATGGTTCCAACTCGATGGTACATAACAATAACTGAAAAAGACCAAGAATAAATAAAACACCTAATTTATAACCGTTACCAAGCTAAAGGAAATATATGTGGCTCTAAAATACAGTAACATCCTATTAGCAGCAGCTTTCCACTAGAGATATGATAATGATTCAGTGAAAGAGAAATAAACCATCACTATACCATTTTTAATAAACAAGCTTATGAGCACCTATATAAGCCATATTTTGGCTCAAACTGTTCACACGGAATCTGACCTCAACAACTTAATCTCCATAATTAAAGATCTAAAAGGTAGTTCTTATGTTTCATCTGTGCTCTTTCCCAGCACCTTGAACAAGAATATCATATACATTTACTACAAATTGATAGGCTAGAGCAGGGTTTAGGGCTGTTGTACATAGGGTCGCTATGAGTCGCAAACGACTCGAGGGCACATAACAACAACCACCACCACCACTATTTGTAAATAGTTGTACTTCCAAGTCATGAACATTTTAAATCTTCTGCCTTTCCCATCCTGTTTTAGAAAACATGCCCAAGCCTAATGATTTCACTGAAAAACATGTTCTAGCAAGCTGAGAAACTGATAACAGTCTCCCAGCACTATCAAGTCTATAGAATATATGGAGCTGAGATGGAAAAAAACCTAACAAGCAATTTTTCCACATGCCTCCACAATCTATGCTGTTCGTAGAACTCTCTGGAAAAGGAAAAAATCTATTTTAAATTATTATTATTATTTGAAAGGCTCTACCAAAAACCCACTACAGCAGAGCTGATTACAACTTGCATGGTACCAAGTGAATTGAGTATTGGGTATACTGCATCGCACAGTTTCCAAGGCATTTACAAATCTTAATGAAAGCAGACAATCACGTCTCTAACCGCTGACCTGAACACTAACCACTGTGCTACCAGGACTCGAAAAAAATCTATAATGTTACTAATTTAAGGCTGTTCAAGTGAAGTTAATTAATAGATTCTCACACAACTTCCAAGTTACTTAAGTGTTCCAAAAGCCGAAACCCATTATATTATTTATTTCAAGCAAACACGCTCTTATCCGTTAAATGTGTTTTCCCTATATGCTTAAATTGGAGCCCAAGTTATTATTTCGGATGGTATTTAGAAAAAATGAAATTAGGTGACATCCAGCAAATACAAAACTCCCTCACAAAGGAGCGTGTTAAATGACTTTTGTGAATGGAAAATCTGCATCTACTGTTGCTTTGCTTCAGCCAGTCTTTTGAGTGGGTGGCTCAAAGAACCAAAGGCTGCATGTGAAGCTCCTTGGAATCTGATCCCCGTCTTGAGAGGGAGAAGCTTACCAACAAACATTAAAGTCAAAGTACAGCAAGGGTTTCGCCTTTCCTCCTACGTTACAAGAAGACCAAGGAAACTGAGGTTTAGAGGAACAAACACGATGCCTCCGGGCTCTGCAAGGCGGGTGCGGTCTGCGGTGCACGGCACAGCAGCTCTGGGGCTGTCACAGGAAAACCCAGCCTCGCCTTAACCGCACCGAGACAAAGCGCCGCTCTCCAGGGCGTAGGGGCTTCCGGCGAGACCCCGTCGTCCGCCCAAACTTCAGGAGAAAGCACACACTACGCGTGGCCAAAATGTGCGAAACGCCTCCTGCCCGGCTCCTCTGCTGAGGCTTTTGTAAGCTGCAGACACACCTTCAGTGGGCCCCGAACACTCAAACCCCGCCGGCCCCAGGAGCCACCTCCCTCCAAAAGGGGACAAAGGAGCCAAAGAGGAACTCTCCAGCGCGGGGTGTTCCCACTGCCCTCGCCGGCTGAGCTCAGAACGCGGGGACAAGGGGGGACAGCCACCCAGAGGGTGCAGACATCTCGTCCCAACTCAGGGGCCGGCGCGACACTCACCAGCGCGTATCCCCCGAGGAGGCGGGACGCAGGGGGTCGGTTCCTCTGGGACCTGAGGCCCTGCACGCGTCCGGTGGGACCCCAACTTCTCTCGTCCTCAGTCACGGGCGCCAGCTGGGGCGCCAGCTGACACCGAGGGCACTGCCTCGCCGCCGGGGAGGCGCTGCCGGCCGTGCCCGCGAGGTAGGCGGGAACTCCGACCCTGCGGTACACCAGTCAGGGAGGGCCCACTACTTCCCCCGTCAGCCAAAGAGCCGCGGAGGTTCCAGCCGCGACCAAAGCCAATGCCTGCCGCTACCACCGCCGGCCAGCTGATAGTGCGTCGCGGCCTAATGTTGTCATCGGTCGCGTCGCCACCGCTCTGAACACGCCGAGACACCACGATCCTTCACATTCTAGCGCCCTCCTCCTCTCGGCCCGCCCCCGGGCTCGCGCGCTCCGGTCACGCCCCCTTCCCGTCACGTGACGGTGGGCGGGGGCGGAGTCAACTCCCCAGCAGGGCGGGCAGGAGGCCCGCGGGGGAACTGTGAACAGCTCTGGTATCCCTGGTGCTCTCAGCTGTGAACCTCCTTCTCCTAGGGTGGCCCCCAGGCGAGCCCACTGCAGCCGGCCCGGCGTCCACTGACCTTCTAAGGCAAAGCCTTGTGCACTGGGCATCTTGGGCCCTTCCTAATCTGCGACGATCTAACCTGCACAGTAACTCTGGTCAGAGCTCAGTCAGGACCCCACGCCCACTCTTGGTCCTGAGCCAGAGATGCGCCTCCCCACCTCGACTAGGTTAAAAATTGATCCGAACAAAGAAGGGAAAGTCATCTTGCGTATAAAGCGTTCAGCAGGTTGGTTTTTTTTTTTTTTCTATTTATAGTTAAACGCTAATCGTTAATTGTGGCGTTTAACGTACTCTTCATTAGTCCTTTTTTTTGGTTTTGGTTTTGTGGGAGGTTTTTTTTTTTAGAGAAGCATGGAGCATTTCAGTCATGCTAGGATAAAAAGAACCTATTTTTGTTCCTTGTCATACACAGGAGTCGTTGGTGCCAGTTTTACAGTAGTTTTCCACTGTCGTGGGTTGGTGGCAGTTTAAATAGATGTATAGGAATTTGGCACTTGTTCATTTTTTAAATAGAGCTTAATTATTTTGTCAGCTTCTTTAGTTTATGAGTTTAATTTGCCTTCCTTTCTAATCATGGTTCAGGGAACCCCCAAGCCTGTTGATAAGAGCAGAATGCGAGTCACCAAAAGGAAATTGCTGATAAGAGAGGAGCAAAAAGATGGTTATAAAGTTCTGTTGCAACCAGAAGGCAAATGAAACCATTTTCTGTAGTAATTCAGGATGTAGATAATTTTTCTTTCTTGCCCAAATCTGACGTTGTTTTCTTGAAGGAGTCTTAGTTCCTCTCAACATTTTCTTAAGATACCAGAAGACATTACAATCAGCTGTATACTTTGACATTTAAAACCAATTCCGTTTGTCCTATATAATCTTTTTTATTAATATATATTTAAGGAATCCTGATACCGTGTGGGTCTACTAACCAAAAGATCAACAATTCAAACCCACCAGCGATTTGGGTCTTGCCTTAGAAACTTCAGAATCCACACTACAGTAATGAGTAATTTGGGATTATGGAAACTTGAGAAATCATGTTATTTAAAACATTTTGTGTTCCCCAACAAAGAAAAGAAACACTGTCAAACTGTACCAGGCCACTTATTTTTCAAGACAGTTCTCAAATTCGGACATATACACCACAAGATAAAGGTAAACAATCCAATTGAAAAATGGGCACAGGATATGAACAGACATGTCACCAAAGAAGACATTCAGATGGTTAACAAGCACATGATGAAATGTTAAAAATCCCAAGCTCTAAGAGAGATGCAAAGCAACTCATCCCATTAAGAATAGCAAAATTTAACAGAACAGCAAGCTACAAATGCTGACGAGGTCATGGAGAAATTGGGACCCTTATTCGTTGCGGGAGGAAGTGTAAAATGGTGCAACCACTGTGGAAGGCGGTATGGCGCTTTCTCAAAAAATAGAGATACCATTTGACCCAGCAATTCCACTACTGGAAATATGCCTCAAAGAGACCATAACTGCCACCCAAGCAAATATAGGCACCACCATGTTTATCACGGCTTTGTTCACAATAGCAAGGAGTTGGAAACAACCTAAGTGCCCATCAACAAATGAATAGAGAAGCTGTGGTATATTCACACAATGAAATACAATGCTGCATTGAAAAACAAGGAACTCATGAAGTAGTATTCAAAATGGGTGACCCTGAAAGACATTATGCTGAGTGAAATACCTCAGTCACAAAAGGACAAATACTTCATAGTGCCACTGTTGTAAAACAGGACTGACCAATCCCAATACAAATACCAATCCCATTCTTCAATGAGATGGAAAAGGCAATCTCCAATTTCGTATGGAATGGAAAAAAGCCCCAAATAGGCAAAGCACTCCTTAAGAATAGAAGAA